GCCTGTTTAATAAAATAGAGGAATAAGAGAATATTCCTCCGTAGATGCTCCGACTCTCTCCTATAAAAGGAGGGCTCCCCCTCAATGTTAAAGGAGGCCTCTTTCCTCTCTCCCCTGCCCACATTTCTTTCTCTCTCTAGAGAACTTGTAATTTATTTCTCATGCAAGCCTTCAAGCTTGCATTAATGGCTTCCAAGCCAAATTCATGTATCGTGTACAACCCCCAATATAAATAAAAATCCCCCGTTGGCAAGGTACTGCCAAAAAAGGCCCGTGGTTTTCTCTCAATTTGGGTTTCCACGTCAAAATTCCCGTGTTTATATTTTGGTGTATTTTTTAGACTAGTTTATCGTTTTAGCCGGCATAAGATGTTTAAAATAGAAAAAATAATTTTTGAAAAACATATTGCATAACTCATGTGTGATATATGAGTTTAGATAAATTCACTATGCATTAGATGGTAATTAATGTGATTAACGTATTCCTGAATTTAACATAGAGTGACCATGATGCAACAATTTTAAAAGTTTAGGAACAATTATAACATCTTTTAAAGTTTAGATAGTATCCATGCAATTTTTAAAAGTTCGAGATTGAAAGAAATACTCTTCCGATCTGTCTAAAATCATCTTCACACTTTGACTTTGTACGCAAATTTAAAAAAAAAGTAAAAAATGTTTTACATTTTCATATTTGTCTTTGTGTCATTGCAAAAAATGAAATAAAGTAAGTATTAAATAGTAAATAATGTGTAAGGTAAAGATAATAATGTGATTTAAAGAAATAGTATTTGCCAAAAAAGAAAGGAAAAGATAAATAATTTAAATTAGGTGATAGATAAATCATGGACGGGGGAGTATTTGTATACCCACATATATAGACTTTCATGCCAAATTAGGATTTGTAGCCTTTTGAAAACTACTGATAATTTTCTTTATTTACATAGACCTTTAGTCACTGGTGATGTATGGACGACCCTAATACAAAAAGAAAAAAAACAAATACCAGTATTATGTGGCAACTCGGTTGGTCATACCGAGTTCGGGTAAGATCCATAGTTTTTAGAACCGAATCGGTTAACCGGTCAATGCACTGGTTTACTGGTTCAACCAGTGATTCGAGTGGTTGAACCAGTGGTTCAAACATTTTTAATATATATCAAACATAATCTATTCTTATTTCTTTCATTAGATTTTATTCTTACCGGAACCATATGTCTTATAGAGTTATAGTGCTTGTTCTCTTCTTATGCTCTGATTAAATTTGATCTGTTTTGTTTAGATTTAATCTAATTTAATTTAATCTTAGTCTATTCTAATCAATAACAAAGTGTTATCTCACGAGATCGACTACATGAATCTCATATATATTCTAATTCGAATAAAATAAATTATAATTTTTTCGTCACAGTGTATTTGTCGAGTTTGATTTTTCGAATAAATTGAATGAATTTTTGGGTTTCAATTAAACAAAAATTGTTACTATACTAATATAAAAACAATTTTATTATACTTATCTTGTTAAAATGTTTCAAAATATATTTAATTGTACTAATATGAAATACAAATAAAAATTATAAAAATTTAAAATTCATATAATTTGACTTGAAAAATCAAAGTGAATAAATATATTAGATGAAGGTAGTAGAGAGTAGAGAGTAAGAAAAATAAAATGAGTGTAATAAAAACAAAAAATTGCTGCTGGGTACCCCTAATTTTGAAATAAAGACTAACAGGTCCCATTGTTTTTCAAAATATACTCCGAGGTACCTTAAGATATTCGAAAAATGACTCCGGGGTGACAATCCGTCATTCTCTCCGTTAACATTTCTTTTCCGTTATCCTCCTCCTCCTCTTCTCAAAAAATTGCTGCCAGGTACCCCTTATTTTCGAATAAAGACTGGCAGGTCCCTTTCTTTTCTTCTTCTTCTTTTCATCTTTTCTTCTTTTTTCTCCTGCCTTCCAGAGTTCCAGTGACCTCCATTCCTCTCCCACCCCCGTTTTTTCTTCTTTTACCTTTTCTTTTGTTTTTTCTTCTTCTATTATAATTATTATTATTTGTTAATAATTATTATAATTAATTACTTCATAATTATTATTTTCTTATTCTATTATTATTATTAATTTTTTGATTTATTATTATTACTATTATTATTAAAAATTAATTGTTAGTTTTACCACTCTTTTCTATAAAAACACTAATTGTTATTTAGAAAAATAGCACTTATTATTAATACTATTATTTATTTTAAGCAATTAATTAGTAATTTTACTTCTATACTTTTTTAAAAAATACCACTAGTTATTATTAT